GTAGTAATATCGTCGTAATTTACAACCGATATACGTGGAAATGTCTATGTTATAACTTTTTGTTGGTTGAAGAAGACGATCCATATTATCCCGCATGGTCTCACGATTTGGTCTGAGGTCCCGTATCAAAAGCCACCACATCATCAATGTATTTTACACGAGGTTTTACCTTTCATACATACGACTATGGGAGTCGCCGGGTAACAAGTAACTATGGAATATGTGTGAAAAGCGAAACAAACTTTTATGAGATTTTGCAGGAGATTATTGAAGTGGAATTTGCGGGGTTATTGAAGCTGAAATGTGTCTTCTTCAATGTGACTGGTTCGACCCTGTTGTGAACATGGGTGTTCGCTTTAACAAATTTGGTGTTGTGGATGTCAACTCTGTAAGAAGATACAATCGAGCCTTTCATCTTAGCTTCCCAAGCCGAGCAAGTAAACATCATCACATATGCTCACCTTAGAAATTCTAGGATAACTTGGTTAGTTGTTATCAAGATTACACCTTATGGGCGAATAATTGACAAGGAACCACCTTTACAAGAAGAACCACCTTTGCAAGTAGAAGTACCTGATCAAGGAACTGATCAAATCCTTCTTATTGACTCCGATAACCGTCAATATGAAGATCTTCACGACGATGTGACAGATGAACCATGCGAAGAAGAGTTTGATGTGAGTGACGATGATTCTGAATGATGTAAAATGTGTACCAAATGTTGTGTTTCTTATGTAAAATTTGTACCAAATGTTGTTTAATATAACTATTATTCATTTTGGTTTAAAAATTTTGATTAAGAGTTTAGGGTTTAGAAAATCTGGATAAAGAGGATGAATATGTAAAAACGTTAAGGAGAAGAAGAAGAAGAGATGATGTTATAAGATAAGTAACTTTGGGATTTAGGGATTTGATTTTCGAGGATTCATATTTTCCACGTCAACTCGTCGTAAAAAAACGCGGGAATGGTACTTTCGTCGTAAAGTCAGAATAGTAATTTCGTCGTAAAGAACTCCACGTAATGTGGTTGTACAAAAATGCGGGCCTGGTTACTTCGTCATAATCCAAACAAAGTAACTTCGTCATAAAAAATGGGGGAATGGTATTTTTGTCGTAAACGAGACCACGTAATGTCGTCGTAAAAAAGGCAGGCCTGGTACTTTCGTCATAATTTTACCTGGCCCTTACGAGGAAAACCAATTCTCTATATAAACCACAACGAGGATTGTATAGCGGATTCGTCTCCACTTCCTCTCTTTCTCGATGTAAGTCCCTCTTTTTTTTTTTAGTTTAGTTTAGGTAGTTAATTAGGTGGATAGTTTAGGCGGTTAGCTTAGAGAATTAGTCTAAGTGATTAATTTAGATATTTAGTTTAAGATAATCAAGATGGTGACATTTTATTGTATTTTATTGTAGATGGCTCCTAAGGTTAGACCAGTTATCCATCCCACTTATGCTGAGATGTTTGGCGATGGTGTCGGGACATCTTCTACCGTACCGTCGTCATCCGAGGCTAATCCTGACTCTCAGGCGTATTATCCCGCCAATTAGATTCCCTATCATATGCCTCCACCTCCTGTCCCAGCACCCCCACCTCCTCCTGCACATGATCCCGCTCCAGCTGCTGGTGAGCATCTTCATCCAGATTTGCGGGTACCTCTATATGCACCTTACGCTACATATATTTTGGAGTATCTTCTTCGCTAACCGGGCCGAGAGGGTTTACAGATTCTGGATCCTGATCGACCGCCGGGTACTTTTTGGTAATTTTTTTTTTAAATTATATATTTTTATTAGTTTTTATTTTAACAAATTAGGTATTATAAATTTTCAGGTTTGGAGCCAACAACCGTGTCAGCTGGAGTGTTTCTGACACGATAAAGAGCTATCTTCTCGACGTATATCCGAACTGGACGATAACTCCACAACACGTTAAGAGAATGTGGTTTAAAATGTTTGTGGTGACTACTATTTTAAAATTTTTAATTATTAAATATTACATTATTTATTTTAATATAGCGCAAACTTTTTTTTCCAGCAAAAGTGGCACTGGAACGTATCGCTCACCGAGAAGGTGAAGGCGAAATTTTGAAGCAAAGGTAAAACTCCGTCTTTGCAACACTCTTTCGAATTAGAAGAACAAGTGGGAATACCACAGTTATAAAGCAAAGCCCACCGAGATCTCAAAGCATGTATGGGATAGTCCCATTGCCTTTTGGAGCTTTTCTGAGTCGATCAAGAAGTCCAACACGTGTTCTACATCCCGGAGAACGAAGGATAAAAACAGTAAGGACCCCATGCTTCATAGAACCAGGCAAAAACTTCACACTGAGATCCATCTAGATGTTGTAAATATTATTTTAAATGTTTAATTTAATTTTTTTAATTTATTTATTAACTATTTTTTTAAAATTAATTTTTATTGTGTACTACAAGAAAACCGGAGTTTTACCATCTTTAGGTGAACTTTTCAAGATGACTCACGTCCCGTGTTCGAAAATGCGGACTAGGCGGCCGCCTGGCCGGCGAGTAAACGTTTTGCAGCCAACCACTGTAGCGAAATGACCCTAATCGGTAAGAAAATCGGATTTCTCAAAAGAATTTCTTTTTGGTTTCGTTTTGTGTTGAAAACCTGTGTAATCTAGTTGGATCTCTAAAACTTTGATAGGTTTAAGTAATAAAAGGACAAAATTGTGCGTAAATGGGTGAAAAAAGCTTTGGAAAAATGGAAGCGCCATTGTTGCAGGTTCTAGGTTAGGAGGAAGATGACTTCAAAAATACGATTTTACCCCTCATTTAAAAAACAAAATAAACGTTGAGCAGGGGTCGAACCCGAGTTTTGACATCAAGACAAATAAGGCACTTACCAACTTAACTAGCGCAAAACTTTGTAATCTCTAAACAAAGTTAATATTTATACGCGTATTTACATAATATGTTAATAAATGAATCATGATTAATCCTCGCTTAATCCCTGATTTTTTGGTAATTCACTAGGCCAGGCTTAGCCGCTCGACTAGCGTCTAACGTAGTTTCGAACAGAGCTCACGCCACATTTGACAGCGTTTTTGTTGATCCACAGTCGGAGAAACTCTATAACGATGTGGCTGCTCGGGTTGAAGAGCGGGAAACACAGTTAACCCAAGAGGCTCCGGATGGATTACCCATCAAATTAGCTACGAAAGAAGTCAACAGTATATTTTGAAGACGTAAATTTTAAAAGAAATTTTAATTTATTTATATTAATCTCTTATTTATATTTTTTTTGGTAAGAGTGGCTCCTAGGAAGAAGGGACGAATAGTGGGAATAGGCTCGGTCAACGAAGTCCCAAGAGAAACTTCGTCATACGTTTCAAGACGGGATAAGGAGACTTCTCAGATGCGGTCTCAAACGGCTTCTCAGCAGGCTCGCATGGATTCGCTTGAAGATCTTCTTCTCCTCTTTGCGGCGGGGAATCCGACTATGCTGCAAGCGTTGAATGAGAGACGAGCGGCTAACATCCAACGGGTCCGGAAAGCACCGGCTATGACTACTTCGACCACAGTGACGCTCCATATTTTTATTTATTTTGTTTCGTTTTTGTAATATACATTTAAATATTATTTTATCACATTTATACTATGGTTTTTAATAACAATTAAAAATTTTGAATATTTTGTTTTATAATTATATATTTATATTTTGAATATTATCAATGTAAATAATATGAAATATATAAATATTACATATAAATATTATATGTGCAAAGTAAAATTGTTGTAAATATTACATGAAATTTACATCGAATGACATGGTAATTCGTCGTAAAACATTACAATGAATTTACAAAGATGATAATTTTACATATATTTAAAGAGTACTTTACAACGAATGATAACAAAGACGTTACGGGAAATTTCAACGACGACAAAGGTTAACAAGGTCTTTACGTCGAATGCTAACGAGTCTTTTACGACGAATATCTCTTTTCTCTTTTATGAGGACACGTGCTCATCGTAAAGTAACATAGCATTTACGGAGAATATTGCATTACGACGAACGTCTTACAACGAAACGGGATTCTTAGTTAATTCGTTGTAACACCTTTATTACGACGAAATTACAAGGAATACGTCTCTTGTAAAAAAAATATTTTCTTGTAGTGTATATTACAACATACAATATTATAATATTATATGAAAAAAGATAATATAAATTATATATATATAATAAAACAATCCACATACATACAAATTTTAGAAAATTACTTATAAAATACCAAAATCATTCAAATATTTTTTATGTAATACTCTCATATGTATTTATGTAATTTGTGTTAAACTTTTAATGTATTTTTATTTTGTGTGAGATTTATTTAATATTTTTTTATTGTGTGAACTCTTTGTTTTGCTATATAATATTTATTATATTTTAGTTTATTTTGGTGTACTTAAGTGACTTTAAATTAAGTTTTAGTATATATATTTATGAAAAGTAGTAACTGTAAAGACCAAAAATATACAAAATAGTTTTAAAGTTTTGAATAGTGAAATTTCAAATTTAATATTTCACTGTTCAGAGTCTTAAAATTTGAGGATTTTAAGTTGGATTAAAATGACATAAGATCTCAAAATTTTGAGGATTTGAAATTGATTTGCAGATGTTCTTAAACAAAGATCTAAAAGCTAGCTAGAAATTCTATCTTTGTTTGATTTTAGTGCTTTGAAACTTTCACTTTTATCTTCTTTAACTGAAAAAGAAGATTTGGAAACTAATTTTCCACAAAACTATATTGAGAAAAAAAAAATCTACAATTAAAAATGGTGAAAGTAAATTAATAAATTAATCATTTACAAAAGAGATACATATCTTACAGCAACAACTATTCCAGTCTGGCACCCATTTCCACCTAAGTAAATACTGAATAATTTTTCATAAGAAAATAAATAAGACACGTGGCAATGATACCATTTGGCTGATAAATGATAAGACCCTTCACTTTCTTCTTGTTCATATTACATACACACTCACACTAGTCTCAACTCTCAAGCACACATAAGAAGAAACAAAGCGTGCCTCTCTCTCTCTTCAGAAACTCCAACGGACCAACACTATCATTTTCTTCTTACTCTATAAAGAAAATCAATACTCACTCATGGATCCTTGGGATACTACTAACTCCCTAGACCACCACCAGTACCGTCGCCGAGATCACCGTCATCCTTCTTTCTCCTCCACTCTCCTCGACCAAATCTACAACTCCATCGACTCCTCCTCCGACGTCTCCATGAGGAAGAAGCAAAACCGCGTTTGCGCGGAGAAAATCCTCGTTAATCACCGCGCAGTCTTCAAAGATTCCGTTAGGTCGAATCTCAAGACCTTTGAGCCTGTTTTCTTCAAGCATTCAAGCTCCTCCAGCTCCTCTGACTCAAACGGATTCTCATCTTCCGAGTCCGAATCGCGCTCTCCGCCGGAGATTCCTCATCCCAAGCCGATTAGAACCACCGTGGATCACCGAGTTAACAATAAACAAGAGCATGGTAGCTTTCTGAGGACGAAGTCCAAGGCGTTGAAGATGTACAGCGATTTGAAGAAAGTTAAACAACCGATTTCTCCAGGCGGACGTCTGGCCACTTTCCTCAACTCTATTTTTCTAAAAAACACAAAGAAACCGAATAAAACTAACACTCCGGCCACGTCATCATCAACCACCACTTGCTCATCCGCGTCTTCCTTCTCCAGATCCTGTTTGAGTAAAACGCCGTCGTCTAGTGAAAAATCGAAACGTTCTGTGCGGTTCTGTCCCGTTAACGTCGTCCTCGACGAAAAGAACGACAAATTGTACGGAAACAGCGAGCGTGAGATGCGGGTCATGGAGGAGAATCGTCGCGTGATTGAAGCAGCCAAGGAACTTATCAGAACTTACCAGAAGAATAAAGAGATTGATGTTAACATCATCGACGAAGAAGAGGAAGACGATGATGATGCTGCGAGTTGCGCGAGCTCTGATCTGTTCGAGTTGGATAATCTATCGATGATAGGGATCGATAGGTATCGAGAAGAGCTTCCTGTCTACGAAACAACTCGTTTTAACACGAACCGTTCAATCTCTAGATGAAGGGTTTATTATTGTCAAATTTCAAATTAATTAACTGCTTTTAGTTCTGAATATATTAATTACTTACTGGTTTCGGGTGAATTAATACAGCTTCCTTTTTGAGGTTATATATATATATGCAGTGTTTCTACAAAACCAGTTTACTTGTGAGTTCTGTAGTACTTAGCTAAATCAACTAAGCAAAACTTCGAAACTAAGAGGTGCCCTGAGATGGAGATCGTAGATTTTTGAAGATGAGTTGAAAGAGAAGCAAAAGACAGATTTTCTACTCTTTTCATCAGTTTAGACAGCAAAGGAAGGTTGAACACCTGATGGGATCCACTCACAAAAAAAAAATGTTTTTTTTATTTGAAAACCATTGCTAGCTATACTTTTTTTTTGAACACCCCATTGCTAGCTATACAAATAAACATATATATAGCTAATGTGTTAAAACTATACAATTATATAAATCATGACAGCATTCATAAACTATTACTACTAGGTGATTTTCCCGTGCTCATGCATGGATATGAATATTCATAAAAGTAAAATGTTATAATAATTGATTGATATTTAGTTTTAGTTTTGAATAAATTTATATGTATAATTTATATTAATAAATATTATATTATTCTAATTATACATATGACTTTGGATATATTATTGTCGGTTTAATTATTTTTTGGATCAATAGTCGGTTTGGTTATCAGTTTGGTATATTGGATAATATCTATTTTTTCAATTCATCTATAATATTTTTTATTCTAAATATAATAAAACTTTGATTATTTTTCTTATTTTCATTTCGGCTGGTTATTATCTTAGATATGTAAATATATTCTTAGATATGTAAATATAGTATAATTTAATTATGTATAACTTAATATATATTGTGCTTATAATGAAATAAATAATAAGTTGAAGTGTTTGATTCAAAATTACATAAATGAATATAATGATAATATTTTTGAAGTCTCATGCATATATATAAATTTTACAAAAGAATTGAATTGTAATTGGTTAATATTTTCTTTTCCTTTTTAATATGTTTTGAGTCAACCTCTAATTTATATGTATAAAATTAAATAGATTATTATTATTATTATTATAAAATTATATGTTCTTGTTGTAGTTATATGTTTAATTTTGGATATAATTTAGAATAGCCGAGTCATTTATTTTGTGAGTAAATTGAGTTAAATATATTTTTAAATTAAAATTGAAGTATAATTATTTTTTTTAGTTAATTCAAATCAAATTAGTTTTATTGATCACGTAAATATACATGTATTTTCATAATATTTATCAAATTATATGTTGATTTCTGAAAAAATATTGGAAAATAAAGTGTAACTGATAATTTTTTAATGTTTATGAACATATATATTATTATTATTTTTGAAATATATTTTATGTTATTTAAAAATATATATTGATGGGGTATTACTATTTTGTGAACTTTCCTTTTCAATAAAGTCCTATTATATACATATATTTTCGTTTTAAAATTTTAGAAATATTTCCTTTTTATGATATATGTTATTTGGAAAAAAGTAAAAAAGAATCTAAATAAAAAAAATTAATAATAATACTAAAATCTATCAATTCATTAAGGGTATCTATGTAATCAACTATCGCGAGAGTTAACGTGAACGCGACACGTAGGAAACTGACTTCTCAAATAATATTATAGAGATTTGTTACGTTGTCAATATACAATCAACATTATTTTAACAACTATATAAAGAATACTAAATTTGTAACCCAAAATTTTTCATATAATATTTAACATATTTTAACATGTTATTTCATGCTTTTTTTTTAATTTACAACAGGCATTTTGTATAGTTAAAACTATACAATTATATAAATCATGACAGCATTCATAAACTATTACTATTTGTTATGTTGTCAATATACAATCAACATTATTTTAACAACTATATAAAGAATACTAAATTTGTAACCCAAAAATTTTCATATAATATTTAACATATTTTAACATGTTATTTCATGCTTTTTTTTTAATTTACAACAGGCATTTTGAATGATTGATCTATGTGTGTTTATTTTGTTTCTGATCATTTGAGTATGTGATATACATTTTTTTCTCAAAAAGAAAACACTTATTGGATATATGATGTCAAATTTTGAATCTAACACATTTTTAATATTAAAATTTTATTTTTGTTAATAACATAATACATACTAGGTAATAATCCACGCCTTGCGTGGAATGAGATTATTATTTTTGTTACTTTTAAGATAAAAATGATATTATGTCTGTTTAGCATATATATTGTTTCAGTTTTACGTTGTATTATTTAATGTCCTAAAATATAACTATCATTCTAAATCTATATTTATTTTTGTTTGTTTGGTTTAAATGTTTGATTTTTTTGATTTTTTTAATGATAACCAAAAACTATTGTTATTTGTTTGGTTTCGTTTGATATAAATTTTAGACATTTTTTATGTCAAACTAATAGTTTCCTATTATAATTTTTAAAGACATGTAAAATCAAATAAAATCTAAAATTTATTCGAAGAAAAAAAAATAAATTATTAACACAAATAAAATTATCAACTTCAATAAGAATTAAAATTCTCACTTGTGGTGAATATTTAGTTTTATAGTCGTTCATGTCAATGTGTACATATATGTATATATAAAAGTATATAAATGTGATGATAAATATATGAATATACTGTCAATTAAGATTTAAAACATTTTTGTTCAAAATAACACATGATAGTAAATTTTTAAATAAAATTAAGTAAAAATAAAAAAAACCTAGAAATTAATAATAATCATATGAAGAAAATCAAATTGTACCCGTAAAAAATAATATATATTACAAAGTGACATCTTTACTTGGTACTTGAATTCTTTTTTTTTTTTATCGTTTTGTGATTTTTATTTCTTTTTAAAGCTCTTTTGATTTCTGATTTTTTTCTACCAATTTGGTTTTATTTCTAATTCTTGGTATGATATGAAAACTTTATAAAAGTTTTAATATTTGACTAACCTAAAGACCCGATTTTACGTATGATGTTTTTTACCTCAGTTTCTTTAATTCATAATCAATCACCGTATTTGTTGTTATTGTGTACCGAAACCTCATCCATGACCAATTTCGACAAGGTACAAAACTTTCAATTTCTATAAACATTTTCATTGCAACATTTTAGTTGATGCAAATCTTAGTGATTTTGTAATTTTTTTACAATAAAGGTATTATTCATTAGTTTTACGTTGAAAATTTTAATTTATTAATACAAAAGCGAAAAAATGTAGGAAAATGAATTAATTAATACTAGTGTATAAACACATTAAATAATGAATTTAAAAAATTAGTGTGTGAATGCGTTAATTGTCAAATGATTGTGAGACCGATACATATCAGTTACGGTTTGAACGCATTTATTACAATATTTTTTTTAAATATATAAGATATTAGTTTATAATATAGTGTGATGAATTTCAGTCATTACTTTATTCATGTGTGTGATATACAAGGGCGGACCCATATAGAGACAAGTGGGGTCACCTGACACCAGTAAAATAGTGAAAAGAAAAAATTATGCATGGGAAAATTAATGAAAACAGCATAACTGGTTAACTTTTCTGCCTCTTCACCCCCCTAATTCAAGTTCGAAGCTTTGCTTTGCACCCAATTTCATTTATTTCTCTCTTTTACAAGGCTTAAGGCCCAATTTGAGACGATTAACGTGAGTAGACTCATGCTTTTAGGTCTAAATAAAAACTTACTCTGTAAATGTGTTTATTTTCTAGCATTGCTTTATTTTCCAAACTTTTAAAGTTCATATTTTTCTTTGATGTTTAAAATAAGTTTTCGGATATACCATTTTATTTTATTTGTTCTTTGATAGATAATTTTTTACTTTAATTTTAGTTTACTTTTATTTAATATTCCGAATTTTATATCATATTAGTTAACTATATATTGGTTTTGATTTTTTAAAATGATATGTTAATTCTAAGATTAAATTAAAATATTATGACAATATTTAAAATTTAGTAAAAAAAAATGATCCCAGTAAAATTATTTTCTGGATCCGCCACATATATAGTGATATGTATTGTTTGTGTAATTAACAATCGTTTTTTTTCTTTTTAATATGGTTTCTATTTTTGACATTTTGAATCAAATAACTATTCCACAGAACTTACTGAGTTTAAATAGTGACATGTGTTCATATATCTTACTAGTAAAACGTTTTGATGATTTTAAGTTCTAACTAATAAGAATATACTTGTATGTCAAAATAATGTTATTAACTTTTCAAAATTTAAACCATATCGCCATTTAAATTTCATCGAACCAGTACCTGCATTTCCTCAATCTTACCCACCCCCAATGCAATCCACATACCAATGTTTCTATTTTGTTTTCTCAAACAAAAAAAAAAGTTTCTGCATGTTGTTTCACTTTCGTTTTAAGAAAATAGGTAAACATTTTGCTTGATATTACTGAGAATTAGTGATCATGATAAATAAGCCAAGGGGACAAGAGTGAAAGAGACATGGTCTCAAATGTCATGGACAAGAGTATCCAATAATTTGACCCTCTTTTACTGTTTATTTTACTAGTTGCATACCCTCCGCGCAAGCGCGGGGCTGAGCATCATTGATGTTTACCTGTGTTTTCTTCGGTTGTTGGTTTAGTGAGTTATTCTAATAATACCAAATAATGATGAAATGGAAAGAATGTAGCAAGAGTGTAAAGTGAAAATATTATATATATAATGTGTGAAATATTATTTATATGTGAAGTAAGGTTTATAGGAATAACGAAATTATAATATAGTTTCTAGTGTATAATAATAGGTGTCTATCTTGTTTTTTATTTTTGTATATTGGAAATAGTTTTTATATCAGAGGTCAAAACTTGATATAATTATTTATTTATAGTATTTATATTTATACTAAACGATTTATCAATTTGAAAATAACTTTAATTTAAGCTAATATTTGTTGTTTGGGTTTCAATAGATAGGTTTGGATATGTTTTTTTGTAAGTTTGGATTTTGTTTATGAATAATATGACATTTTTATTTACGGCGTCATCGACTATGGAAATCCATTCGCCGGAGTCTGATAAAAATGAAATTATAGTAACTATTA